ACTGTCTTACATGTAAGAACCATTTCTTCCCAATTATGATTCATCACTCTAATTATTTTTGAAAGCCTGCTACCGGAAGCACCATCAATGTGTATCAGAAGAAAGCCCTGCAACGTGTCAAATAAAACATACAACTACTGTTGTGTTGTAGTGTGACAAATGTGAATTTGCATTTGAGTTTGGCCTAAGTAAAATTGCTGTCTGACTTCTTGATAAGTGACTCAAGTGTAGGTACATATATTTAAAAACTAATTTTGAAGAAAAGTGGGAGTCTGAGAAAGAAGTATGGATTGAGCTAATTGAGCGGTATTGCAGAAGAGGAAATGTGTAATCTAAGTCTTCACCTGGATGATCACTATGCACTAAACAGGACTAATCTTGTAGATTTCTAAGTGGGAATGCCTGCTTTGTTTCACATATTTCCCGTGTTTGTCAGCTGAATTGTCTGAGACTGAATTGTCTGAGCCTTATTACAGGGCAGAAACCTCTGGCACGGTGATGATATCCAGCAGCAGAAGACAGGAGCCTTGTAGATCACTACAGCTAATATACTTCTTAGCAGCACAAGCCAGACCCCAGGATGAGGAGGCTGTATGCAGTCCCTGGGATGAAAGTCAGAAGTGAAAGCATATCCAAACAATACCCAGGTCAACAAAATAGTCCAGAATGGGCTGAAGGCTCCATTGCTCCATTTGTAAAGCTTGAAAGAACTCCCCTAACTGGAAGCATATGTTTTAAGTCTCATTTAAACTCAATGGGACCACAAATATGTCCCTAAGGGCGTTGCTAAGAAGGGATGCATTCCTGAGTCTGTGCCTGGAAGAGTTTTCCCCCAAGAGTAAGGACATGGAGATTGAACAGCTAAACAGCACAGCTCATGGGCCTTGGCACAGGGTTTACCCACCTGTCGCAGGTAGTTGAGAACACATATACCACTACCATTGTCAAGCATTGGATTTTCTAGCTGCTTGCTGAGGCAGTAGTAGTGCCACCCGTACTTCTCTTGTTCGTCTTGTGTAGAACTTGCTTTTATCGCCCTCATTCCTGGAGGGAAAGAAAAGAAAAAAAAGCTACTGAATATGACATCATGGATTCAGGAGGACTTTCACACTTCCACAGGTGTTTTTGTAGGAAAGGATAACTTGGCTCTTGGATTTTACAAACCACAACAGCCACAAGATATTATTGTCCTGCTTTTTAAGTTGAGTCTTCTCTGACGGCAGTGCATACCAACGTACAGACAGCTGAATAGCCACAATCCTGAAAGTCTATCAAACCTCTGCATGAAGCGTCCTGTGGATTCACATAAGCATGTTGTGATGTCGAGCTGTTCAAAAGCCATGTGTTCTGTTTGCTGTCTTTGTAGGCCACCCATCAACTTCCCAATTTGATTCACGCACCTTAACTGCTCTGTGTAGCTCACACCAAAGCAAATAAAAACAAATTAGCCCCTACAACTTCAAGAGGACTGCAGATTGCATTAATGTGGTGGTTGCTTTTTGGTTTTGCTTTCTGAAGTTTGTTCTACTTTTTACTGGAATCACATTATCACAGAGTGTGAAACAAAACATTTTCTTGTAACTTTGCCCTTTTAAATGATTACATTTATGTGTTTTTGAGCTGGAGAATGTACCTCCACTGAGGCTGTCAGTGAACTCTTCACGACAAATGGAACACTGAGTGTACAATGCATCCTACTGCTCAAGACATCTGCACAGTACATTTTTATTGGGCAGCATAGAAGAATCAATACGTACTTTCTCGTTCTAGATACAATATATTTGTTTGGTGGTTCTCCTGTGACAGCAGTGATATGTGTGCACCAGAATGGACCTGCTCCCTGGCTGCATGCTCGAGTTCTCTGGAAAGGATGATGGACCTTACAGTCTCCTTTGTCTTGCTGCACATTATGCAGGAGTTTGCTGTTGTTGGTCATTTACTGTGCACACTGACAGGTACTTAAACATTTGGGCTTTTCTTATGAACAAAAGGAGCTAATTTGAGCGTTGCTTTTGACAGATGATCTTTTCACCAAAACGGCTGGTGAGAATGGCTGGCAGATAGTCCCTCACTTTTGATAGAATAAGCCTTCCAATTGGCGAAATATTCGTTCAACATTGAAACATCTCAATTTGGTATAAAAATGCTCTGGAAATTGAATTCCACTGAACTTCAATTGGGAGCATTGTCATTTCATTACAGAATAAAAATAACCTTCTAAAAGTCTGGGCATGTCTGAGCAGAACTGATTTCACCCAGCTCGCTTTAGGTTTGGTTACACTCCAGGGACACGGTGTGAATCCCTAGTTCTTTATCACACAGGGAAAGATCCAGTTTGAATGGGATACTTGTTGTGTGCATCCCATCGCTTGATCAAGAGGTGACAAGGACCTTTCCTGACTCATATCTGTAGTTTTCCCTGAATAAAATAAACCCCTGGGGTTGGTGGGTTGTTCTGTTTGTCTTTTTATTTGCTGGTGCCATCCATTTCTTTAAACTGGTGGATGTATTTAGTATCTTAATTCTAGTGATTTTTCTAACCATGGCAAGTGGACCATAGTAAATGTGGTAAATGTGGTAAAAGTGGACCATAGTAAATTCCCCCTTTACAGCTTTATTGCATAGGGAATGTTAGGCCTCCTCTTTTCAACTGGCTCAGCTACCAGTCCAAAACTGTTCTCACCTATGGACTACTGCAGAGTGTGAGAGCACTTGTGTATAAAACACCTTTATTTGTTACATGGCTTTTAACATCCCTGCTGCCAGCAGAGGAGGAGCTCTGTCAGGAAGGATGGTGGGCAAGAATGTCACATTTAGGGTAGTTGTGTGTGGGAAGGGAAAGAAATAGGATTGCTCGCTGGCTTTGTGGTCTCAGAGTGTGATGCAGATTATAGCTCCAGAAGAGGGCTGAAGAATGCAGTCGTGCTCTTACACTGTTCTGCCAGCCATTAACTGCTGGAAGAAAACCAGTATTGTGCTCATTGTCATTAAAAGGAAGAAATTAAACCTCCCTTTGTAGAAAAATCATAGAAAGGAGATGTGCTTCTGCAGAGTGAGTCACCTCCTAGCTGTAACTTCTGTTTAAGTGAAAGATTAATCAGCTCCCAATCTCCCAAGCAATGCAGGTAGGTAGTGGTTTGCAGCCCCACTGCTGTTCCAAATCCACAGATATCTATGTATGTGAGTATAGGAAAACTCCATGCTTTCAGAATATGACATACAACAAAACGAAAGCAGCATATGCAGCTGTCTTCACTAGGGCAGCATCTGTGGAGCTGAGCTGGCTGTTGGAGCAAGGTGTTCTACAGTGGTGTGCAGCTGAGAAGTAGAGCAGCGCCTTGGCTTTAAAGTGCTGTTGAGTGGCTGTGATGTTCACGCTGCACCTTGCTCGCCCCACGCAATGCTCACATTCACCAAACAGCACGCACCAGGAGCTAGCAGAGGCAGAGCTTGCTGGTTTCTCCTGAGAAGTCCTGTTGCCCACAGGCCGTCCACGAGATCTTTGGATCTTTGGGCTTTGGATAAAGAGCTGTGGCTCTATGCCCTTCCAGAAGCAGACAGCTCCCACCACTAGCAGTTTGCAGGCACCACTGCTGCCCTTTCCTCTGAGCCCGTCCTGTGCTGCGCAAACCGCCCTGCCTGTCTTCTCAAGTGCTGTAAACAGAAGCTGTGGAACTTCCTTTCAGAACACAAATCTGATTACATTTTCTATGATAATCTACTTCCATTCCCTATCCTGAATTCATGCGCTGGTAGCAAACCTCCCCTTCTACCACGGCTCTTATCTCTTTAACTGCTATGTAACTGTGTAAATACTGCTGGCATATCCCCGATAGAGGGATTGTCATCGCATCGCTACTGGTAACCAGCGGTTATGTCACTTTCCCTCGCTTGAATAGGCTTTGACTCATAGTGGTTTTCAGGACAATGGTTATAAAATAACACACAGAAAGGCTGCCGAGACGGTCGTTTTGCAATAGAGACAACCGTCGACTTCGAGAAAACGTTTTTCCTTTTGTTAAGGCTGTTGTTCTTTCATAACAGGAGGCTTTCTCGCATGGAAGTTGTAAGACGAGCTGTCTGTGTGCTGCTAGCATCGGCTCGCTCAGGAAAATGCCCGCCCCTGCGTGCCGGCTCCTGCTCGTGGTCCCGCACATCGCTCCACCCGGACTTCGAGTAGTTCAGCGCTGCTTTCCTGGAATCAGCCCGTACCGGGCTGTGCTGTGCTGTGCCAATAGGCCAGACAGAGCCAGTAGCGGGAAGAATGTCTAACGCCAGCGGCTATTCAATAAACCCTTTTATTCGTTTACTTAAAGGACTCACTTGGGAACTTTGTGTACAGAGATATAGGTGTACATATCCGAAAGCCTTAGGGAGGGAAGCCAAGTTTTTGGCAGGTTGCAGAAAGCCTCAGAACAGGGATGTCAGCAGGTGGGATCAGACAGGTGCACCCCTGCAGCGAGGCCACACGGCCGTGGCCCCTTCCCGCCGAACTCCCCGCTCCGCTGTCCGAAAGCAGCCACGAGCCGACAGTGAGAAAGCTTCAGCGTCGTTAGGAGAGCGACGAACCGCGGCTGCAGGAGGGCTGCAGGAGCGCCGCGGGGCACCTGCGGAGCGCGGGCGGATCCGGGGCGCGGCGCAGAGCAGTGCTCGGGGATGGCGCCGCGCGGCACAGACGGGACGCCCGCCGCAGGACGGCGCCGGCTGCCTCCAGCGCAGACGGGCCGCGGGTGAAGCGAGCCGCCCCTCTCGGCGGGCCGGGCCGTCGGCAGCGGTTACAAAACCAGGCGGTTTTGTAACAACCTGCGGGAGCCGCCCAATGAGCGCGGCCGCGCCGCGTCACGTGCCCCCCTTTATATAAGCGGCGGCGGGCCGGGGCGCTCCCGGCGCGGGGCGGCAGCAGCATGGGCCGGCGGGGCCGCGCCGCGCCCGCGGCGCCACAACCCACGCGCCTCGGCGCCCTCGGCCGCCCGCCCGGCTCGCGTTCCTGCTCGTGCTGAGAGGCGCCGCCCGCCATGGGCTCCCGCCCGGAGCCGCTGCAGGCGCAGAACTCGGAGGCGGCGAGCGGCGGCCGCGGCCCCGAGTGGCGGGCGCTGCTCGGGCGGGCCGACGCGCTGGCCTTCGGCGGGCGGCTGCACGAGGCGCTGCCGCTGTACCAGCTGGCGTCCCGGCAGCGGCAGCTGCGCGCCGAGCAGCTGGAGAAGCTGGTGGAGTGCCTGGCGCAGGGCGTGCGGCTGAAGGAGGGGCTGCCGGCCGGGAGCGGCGCCCCGCAGCCCCGGGACTGGGACGGCTGCCGCTGCCGCAAGTGCCAGGGGTTCCTCTTCGAGCCCGTGTCGCTGCCCTGCGGACACACCTTCTGCAAAAAGTGCCTGGAGAGGGAGGACCGCGCGGCCGCCGCGCGCTGCGTGCTGTGCCGCCAGGAGGGCGGCGGGCGGCTGCCGCGGGTCAACGTCATCCTCAGCAACCTGCTGGGCAAGTGGTTCCCGCGGCAGGTGCGGGCCTCGCAGCTCCGCCACGAGGGGAACCTCCTGTACCGGGAGAAGAAGCTGCACGCCGCCCTGCAGAAGTACGACGAGGCGCTCAGCTTAGGTAACGCCGGAGCCGGGTCCCGGGGCGGGCGACGGGGGGAGCTCCGAAGCGGAACTGGGTCAGGAGAGCGGCGGTTGCGTAAGGCGGCAGCCCGCGGCCCGGCCGCCCCCCGCCCCCCCGGCGCCGTTGTGTAACCGCGGGGCGGGAGCGGGGCCGCCGCCCCCGGGGCTCCCCGGCCCCGCGCCGCGCTCCTCAGAGGGGCCGGGCCGCCTGCGGAGCGGAGGGGAGGAACGGGACGGGTGGGCTCGCGGCGCGTTGCTCCGCAGTGAGCGCGGGCGGCCGAAGCGCAGCGCGGAGCTTCGAGCGCAGCCCCGTCTCGCTGCTCCGTGCCGCTGCTCCTCGTGCGGCTGCTGAATGTGCGCAAACCCGGTTAGCGAAGGCTTTTGCCGCTGCGATCCGCGGCCGTCGTGGCGTCCCCGCCTGCTGCCGGCGCCCGCCCGGTCTCCCCGCACGGGTCGCTCCCCGCCCGGTGCCCGTTTATGCAATTTGCCCGGAGTTATGTAATACGCCGCCGCCGTTTCGCTGGAGTTGCACAAAAGAGGTTTCCGTATTTCATTTACTACGGAGTTATTTCAGGGCTGCTTATTTTGGGTTTCGGTGCAATTTGGGAGGCGCGACGCGTGTTTAAAAATAAAATTCTGGGGAGTAAAGCTTACATAACTGCTTCTAAACTGGGTTAATCGACCAACTTTTGTTTCCTGCAGCTCCCAATGACCACTTGCTATACAGCAACCGGTCCCAGATTAACTCGACTCTGAAAGCTTGTGAGGATGCGCTGCACGATGCCGAGGCAGCATGCAGGCTGCAACCCTACTGGCTTAAAGTGAGTCCTGAGCCCCAGCACGCTGTACTTGCAGGCCTGGGTGCTGCTCTGGGTGGAAAACCGTTCCTTGCTCAGAGCCGGGGAGGCTCCTGTGGCTCATGGGCGCTGAGCCACTTTGTCTTGGGGCTCAGTGGGGTGAAGGAAGAGCAGTCATCCTGCAGGAGGACTTGGTGTTGCTGTCTGTGACCCACTGGGATCTCGAGCCTGTGAACTGTCTCTAAAAACTGAGTGCTGTGCTTCTGTCTTGATCGAAGAAAGTGGTCATTTGTTAGAACCTTAGTGTGGAGGGAGCAGATTTGTCCAAGAGCAGCTGGGCTCAGGGACACTGTGGGAATTGTTTTGCCCAAAGAACATCTCAGCTCTACTGCTAGGGCTCTCAGGTGTATGGGCTCTCATCATTGTGCTTTGAAACTTGGGCACTGCTGTTGTCACAGGCTGAGAAGCCATGTCAGTGAGCTCTCCCTGCCCAGCTCTCTTTGGAGGATCTGTCGCTTCACCTTGTTCTTAGTGCAAGTTCCCACAACAGAAGAAACAAAGGCTGTAACGATGGCTGTGTTTCATTGCAGGGTCACTTAAGGAAAGGCCAGGCATTGGCTAATCTAGGGAAAACAGAAGAAGCTTTAAGAGAGTTTCTGTTCTGCCTTGCTCTGGACATGGGGAACAAGACGGCCAAGTCTGAGGCTCAGAAGGTATGGTCCCCAAATCATCCAAACCGTATTGTTTTCAGTGGCCTATCATAGGGTAAGAGTGTTTCTCCTTCCTCCCCCCTCATTACTGGAGAGAGTCGTGGGGGGAGGGTTGTCCTGACTGCTGCTCACTTTTGGGCTGATGTCTGCCCCTTCTTTGAAGGTAGGGAGGTAGCAAGAGTACAGGCACTAAGCAGATAGGTGCTGTGTAGAAACACTGTTAGCACCAGCAAACTTGAAGTAAAAGTGAATTGCTAATAATCGCCACCCACAGACCTTTGTGATTCCCTGTTGGCAAGCTTCTCATGTTTCATGGCTTGGCACCACCTTGCCAGTGAGCAAGAGGGAGCTGGTATGGTGTGTTGCATGGGGCTGGGATGCTGAGCCAACACGCAGCACTTGTCATTCTCTGCTGGGAGCAGCTGCTTTCCTCCACCACGGCTGTGCTGTGACAAAGGTGGGGAGTGAAGCACTCAGCAAAGAGCTGTTTTAAAATAGTTTATAAGGGTTGCTGCTAATAATTAATGCTAAAACCAGCAAAGCAGATCAGCAAGCTGTCTTTTTTTTTTTTTTCAGTCACGGCCAAGGCTGTTGTGTGTGTTCTTAAAGGGATTCTGTACAATGTGCTGTGCAGTGTTGTCCACCTCCTAAGTCATACCACAATTACTGTGAATGGGGGTTTTGACAATTGATCTCTCTTGTTGCAGCCGAAAGGCTTTGCACCACAGCAGTGACACTCGAGGTAATAAAAACAGAATCTGGTTTCATTGCACTGCACACTCCTTCACAGCACCGCACCCGGCTTTGGGGTTGGAGTGCTGTGACTTGGAATGCTCTGAGAGCACTGTGGCACTCCTGCAGTGAAGCACTGCTCATGAAAGTAATCGGGTTTATAACCTGGGTGGCCGTAGTGCAGTCAGGTCTTTTATCTCACTTTGCATAGTTCCTGATTTATTTTTTGGTCATGTTTTGGTTTTGGGATTTGGTAGGACTTTTTTTTTTCCCCGCAGTGTTCCGTGCAGAGTTTTGCTGTAATTGTATCATAATTTGTTTTCATAGTCATGCTGGGAGAGTTGCAGTGCACCAGAGCAGGAAGAGTGTATGTTCAGATACATTTCTGAATTCAGACCCCACACAGCTTTGTCTGAGACACCTGATTTCAAGCAGTGGGGATCTGAGGAAAACACGGCTGATTACAGCCGACGGAATGACTTGTGTGACACAGAGTTCATCCATGATGCAATGTCTTCCTGGGCTGTTTCCAAGGCTGTTTGCATAACAATGACATACTGCTTTTTACCAGATCCTTTGGGTACAGCTATGGTGTTCTGCCCTTGCTAGCTGCCTGTCCACGGTGTGGGATCGGAGCTGTCATGCAGCTTCCTCAGACTGCGGCAGGATCACTTCAGCACGATTTTGAAATCCATTTCTTGAATGAATTTCCCATAGTCTGTTTCTTTTATGATCACTGGAAATGTGCCTGCAAGTGGCAGCAAGCTGCTGCTCAGTGCAAGTTCACCCATTTTCTGATAGCAAACGAAGGAATGGCATTTTTCTGCTGCCCTTGTTTTTGTTTGTTTTTTTTTGTATTCTCATATAAATGAATTAGAAATAGTTGCAACTTAGTGCATTGGAACCACGTAAGTGCATGTGGGTGAAGCCTGTGAGACGAGTGCTTTCTGTGCTCCATAAAAGCTGCTGAAAGTTTCTGATGTGCAGAAAAAAGAAATGAAAAACAAAAACAAGGTGTTGGGACTTCTGGTGAGCTCTGAGCCACAGGACAAGGGTGTGCATGTAACTGGAGGGTAGCCTGTGATTCATGGTCTGATTCAGCTCCCAGAATCTGTCTGTGGGCCCCGCACTGCACCAACTTTGCCATTTTTCTCTCATCCCTGTCAGAAGGGCTCTTTAAAAGGGTTTTTGTTTTTTCAAATGAATGGTATTTCTGTCAGCCACTCCCTTACTTGCTTTGTCGTGTGGAGGTTGCGAGGAAAGAACTAAGCAGTGAAGTATTCTGTTTTATATCACAGCTTCTACTTAGTTTGTTTTCACTCATCCCGGGAAATGCTCAGGAACACTTACCCGATATCCTGCAGCTGTTGTCACATCACTCTAGATTAAAGGGGAACCTCCTAAGTTCAGTGGGATCTGGAGGCACCAGCCATGCCCTGCAGAGGTTGCTCAAGGTAACGAATGAGTCTGCTGTGTGGTTCTTCATTTTGCTGTGTGTTCTGTGTTCACGTGGGGAAGCCTTTCCTTTTCATCTCTGGGAGATGGGATGGTGTGTTTTCTCTGATGTACTGCCTTACAGAAAGCAATGCAGATCTGCTGAAGCCTCTTGAGCTGACTTCTCCACCAAATGCATGCAGGCATTGAGCTGTCTGTAGCCCATCCAGGCAACTGGCAGGAAAACAGAGCCTCTGCCGCGTGGGTTGGGATGCCCTACAAGGCCTCAGTGCCCAGATGTGGGGTTTTAGCTGTAACTGACCCTATGTAAGAAAAAAATCATCCTGCGTTCAGGTTCTATACATTGAGACATCATTGTGGGCTAGCAGTGTTTTACACTGCTCTACAAGTTTGTTCTCGCAGCCAGAGTACTGAGAACTGCTGGAAAGGTTTAAGTTAGCGGAGTTGGGTAAAGGACTTCATTAAAACCTGAACTGTGAGGATATGATCTGCCCTATGCTGTACCTGTAGGGGAAAACTTTACTGATTCTAGGAAACGGAAGTGGTGGGTTTTTGCTCAGCCTTGCTGAGGATAAGCAGTGCCTTCTGGAAGGACTGTTCTGAAAGGAAATCCTCCCACAGGACCCGGTCATGATGTCAGTCATTTGAGGGACAGCTCTCTCATCTTTCTACATGTTAAACATTACTGCAGTATCTGCTTTTGGGTTCATCTGTGATGTGGATGTGACAGGCAGACAGTGATGTCCCATGGCTCTGTGCTGCAACAGGAGCAGCAGTGGTTGTTTGATCTTTTGTGAAAGAAGTCTATCACATAGAAGGGAGCTCTGTGCCTCTTCTTTCCTGCAGTCAATTTGGTGTTGATTCTGCTTCCTCACGTAGTTCTGGTCATTTTGATGGTTGGTACCTTATCCTCATGGTATAGACAGTACATATTAGTAAGATTAGAATATTAAGGTATAGATTAAGTGACAGCGGCGTATTAAACCTGAGATTTAGATGGCTCTCTGCCTAAATTGAGTTGCAAGAGCAAGCAGTAAAGCCACACACGAGGGCTGAAAGTACTGAGTGGTGCTGGGGGGTGGGTATTGTCTGCATACATCTGACATTAAAGCCATGCCCCTACAGAGCAATCCTCAAACTGTTCTTCTTGAGCTACGAAGTCCTTCCTGGTGAGCCACAGCATGAAGGGCTTGACAGGTTTGGATGTTTTTCCTTACCTTGTGAATGAAGGTGGATGTTCTAATGTCAGCTCTCTCTTTGAACAGGTAAATGTGGAACAGAAAAAGGGCTTTCCTGTTCAAGAGGAACCAAACATAACTAATTCTGGCAGTTTAAGGAAGTCCATGCAAACCACAGAGAGTAGAAAGGACTGCTCAGAGGAGGAGAACAAGCCCACCTCCGTGCCAGAGCCTGCCTTCCTCGTGTCTGAGAAGCGTGGCCTCCTGAAAAGGAAAGGCTGCTTGGAGGAGGCGAGGGCTGCAGAGGTGCCCTGCAAGCTCCTGAAGAAAGGTATGTGGAACTGAGGTACCATCAGTGGAATCTTTGCTTGCATAAAAGCCTAGAAGGATCCAAATTGCACTTCATTTTTTTTTTTTTTTAATATTTTCTCATTAGTTTAATCAGGGCACAATGTGGAACACTTCTTGTAGAAGTGCTAGTCTAAAAAGGCAGCTAGGGGAGCTGAGATGATTGCTTGTTTGTTGGCAGGGCGCTGGATTTTGTGAGCAACATTAATGCCATGCATGCTTTTGCCACCTTCTGAATCAGTTCAGAAAAAAAAAAAGTTTAAAAGCATGAGTTCTGTTTGCATGAACACCTGATGTGCAGCCTTTTTTCGTAGTGTGGGATATATTTACAGTGGTGTGACAGAAAAACTTGTCCCCTGTCACACTTCTGGCACAGGGTGTTTTGGTGCTGTTAATGCAGCACTAAATTCAGTGCTCTGCACGTCAATGTAGTGTCACTGCAGTTAAGGACTGGTGGCTTACTTGTGCCAGAGCTGGATGTGATGCTGTGTGTAGGAGATACTGCAGTGATGCTCAGTGGTTCAGCAGCTTGCACGTCAAAGTTTAAGCATCAGTAGTTGGTTGTAGTTGCAGAGGCTGGATGTGCTTTCCCAGCAGTGTGCATATGGTAATGTGTTTTCTTCTTGTTGCTAGATACAGTCGATACCAAGGGAAGTAGCACTGGGCAACATACTCCATTTGAATCTGTGGATCCATCAGATCTGGATTGCTCCCTGTGTATGAGGTATCCGTTATTTCCTCATGGATGTCTTGAGCTTGTAGAAAACCCCTCCTCTTTTACAATCTAGGTAACTTCTAGCTCAGCTGGTATGTAGTTTTCCCACTGACCTGAAACTGGTCTTTATTAGAATTATTTTTCCATTAATGTATTTCTCAACCTTTGGTTCTCAGCACCATGGTGAAAGGTTGGGCTGCCCCAGGTTGGCAGTGGGAAGGACATGAGGTCACAGTGAGAGCTGAGCACGTTAGTGGAGCTGTCACATTTCCTCTTCCCATCAGTTACATGCACCCACCACTGGTGCAGTGCACACAGCCACAGGTTTCTCCTTTGGAGTTTATAGAGCTGTGTATGATATCATAGTGCATGAAATAGCTAATGAATATTATGAGCACACCAAGATTGCATATAAAATAGTGTTCTTGCTGTTACAACAAGGTGGATCTTAGGAGCATGTTTTTCCTGTGTTGCTCAACAGATGTGCTGAATTCCTTTGTTACTGAGTCTTGTGATCTCTTCCTTCAGTTAAATAACAGATCTAGCCTTAAGGACAGCAATAACTTCATTTAAAAACAAACAAAACTCTTGAGTTGTCATCTATTTTACTGATGGCTATGTTTTATATAAAAAAAAAGTTAAAAAAGGGGTTTTGTTACAAATTTCTTGTAGAAAATAGAGAAGATGTTTTACAAGGGTCTTGATTTCTGCTTTGTGCCGCTCATGTTTGGCTCAGTTTTATCTATACAATATGTTTTGGTTCATCTTGCACCATATTACTTGAATAGGAGGTGGCTTTGTGGATTTTTTTCTGAAGGGCTGTGACTGGGCAAACATGGCTCTGCTGTGCTTTGCTGTATGCTGGTGAAGGGGGTTGCCTGCTTTTATTTGAAACACTAACATCTTTGAGGGAAAAATCTGCAAAGGCTTGCTTCTGCCTGGGATAAGTCAGATGTGCCCCCTCTCTCTCTGCCTGCCTGCAGCTGAAACGTGCTCCAGAAGTGTACACAGCTGTCAAAACACTGGTACTGCTAAGAGCAGAACTTTCTTCTTGCAGAAAGCCACACAATGGGTCCGAGCTGCTTTTAATGACTGCATGTTTAGAATCATGTCCACAAAATGCTTTTCAGATGCTTTTAATGAATTTAATTAGCCCTACTTCCTCATCCACTGTTAAATCAGAAACAGACAGACTAGCATGTGTTCCTGAAGGCGTTGAGCTTGAGGACTGCTGGCTCTGTGGCTGTGGGTGCACTCGGGACCTGACGTCTGCAGGGCAGCAGCTCCGCAGCACTGTAACAATGAGGACAGTCTGTCACTAGACTTTCATCATGCTATTAATGCAGATAGGTCATAATTACTTCCTGCCACGTTCTTCAAGAGTATTTTAGGGATTTGGATGCGGAGATGCTTTGGACTGATTACCCAGTAACCCCCTGACCTGCTCACAGGGAGCTGCTATTAGCCTACTTGTCTGGCGAAGCGGCCCAAGCATTATCGATCCACAGCAGCAAGCAGAGAATAAGCAATGCTTGGAGCAGTACAGGGAGAAGGGAGGAAGCAGTGCTCACAGCAACGGATGCTCATTTTCTGCTGTTTAGCAGAAAGCTGCTGGTGGCTTCAGTGGAGGCAGAGCAGGGTCACTCATCTCAACTGGAATTTCTTGTCTTCAGATCCACTAACAGCTACTAAATAATTACATTTACAAACCAGTGCTCCCTGAAACAATGCAGTCTGACATTTGCTGTAGTTCACACAATAGCATAGTGCAGTGAGGTTTCTGTTCGTAAAGCAGCTAACGAGGATTTTCAACCATACAGTCCCATTGCAGTAATAGGTGTGGCTTTTTGGATGCCTCTTTGTGTTCTGTTGTTTTAAATGTCAATATTTGCAGTTACTAATGACACTTAATCAGGTGGCTATGGCAGTTTTGTAAGGAGCCAGTGTACAGGTAGTCATCTTGTTAAAGGTACTAATAAATATGGGTTTATAATGTCCGTGCATATTATGGAACTTAGTTTGCTGCTTTCTTAAGCTTGATAAATTAGGAGAATTACTAATTGAGACCCTGAAGTGCTTAGACAGTATGCTGTGGAATATATGCCAAAGTTTCCTTTCTAGTTTGGAATGTTTTGTATTTAAAAAGAAAAAAAGAAATAATTTACATCTGTCAGATGTACTTACTGTCAAGGAAACCTCACTTTGCAATATCACATAATTGTAATAAGCCAAAAATCTGTATGTAGAAATAAGTGTCACAGAGGTACCTGGGATGAGCAGGTTAGACCCTGAGCTATTTTAAAGTCTTGGCCCTATGGACTGAAATATTTTCCTAGCTGAAACATGAACTTAATATAATTGCTTTTCCAGACAAGCAGGTTGAAGGTTAAAAGCAGTCTATTCCAACAGAACTGCTTTCCCAGTCCAGGTTAGAGTTGATAATAATCCATTTTTTTTGTAGTCACTTATCTGGCCTGTTGCTGCAAAATGACTGTTTTGTGCTTTGCTCTGCACATCCAAGTACCCACATGAGTTCCATGCTACTGGTTGTGTAAGTGTTGCTCAGTTTCATTAGAAAAAGTTGGATGATCAGGCTTTATTTTCTGTTCATCGCTTGTGTTGAATAAAATGAAGCTTGGACCTGAAGCTGCACATATCACATGCACTGCAATCTGAGCTCAGAGGCTGCCTTTCACATTAGACAGCAATAACAAACAGTGTAAGCTGAATAAAGACAAGAGTTGGATGAAGAAGTGAAAAACAAGGAACAACTTTATCTGTAGAGCAGTCAGTAGCTAAATTAGTGGATGAATGCAGCTTGTTTTTGGTAACGTCTCTTTCTGTTACTTTGGTACACGATATTGTTGTCGTCTTGTTTTTGGATTTCCCAATCCAGGCTCTTCTATGAACCTGTCACCACGCCTTGTGGACACACCTTCTGTCTCAAATGTCTTGAGAGATGCCTGGATCACAACCCCAAATGTCCCCTGTGCAAAGAAGGGCTCTCAGAGGTAATGAAGCTCAGATGTTCTCAGCATATATTCAAGAGCACAGAATTAAGATCAAGCAGCACCTTTAGAAACCCTCCAAACTCAAATTAAGCTTTGTGTAAGTTAAGAAAAAGGTGGTTGCAAATGTCTTTGTGATTCCTGTGACTCACAGAGCTTAGATGGTCTCATCTGGTCAGACCTTTCCTGTATTTGGGACGTCTGAGAAGAGAGGGCAGATTGTCTACAGGTTATCTGAGACAATGCCCCCAGCATCAGGAGTAGTTCAATAACTTCAGTGGTGGTGCAAGCTTAGAAAATAGCTTTGATGTGCTGTAGGCATAAGAAAATGGAGCTAACAGATGAGTGCTGTGTGTGTACTTTGAAATGTTAGGCACTATCTGTAACCACCTGTGATTTTTGTTTGCTTCCTTCTGCAGTGCTTGGCTATGAGGAAATACTGCAAAACAGTTCTAATGGAGGAGTTAATAGCTAGATATCTTCCAGAGGAACTCACTGAAAGAAGAAAGATTTATGAAGAGGAAATAGCAGAGCTTTCCAAGTATGTAATCCATTTCCTTAAAATCCTCTTCTGATACGATTGCTGTTAGCTAACAAATGGCTCCTGCTGCTGCAGGACGCGCTCAGACCACAGGATGGCTTGGGCTGGAAGGGAGCTGATAGGATCCAGATCCCATCCCAGCCCTGTGAGCTGGTTGCCACTCAATAGATGCTGACACCAGAGCTTCATCTTTGATATCAGTGATTTAAAGAGAATGGGGGTCCTGGTGAAATCATCTGGTTTTTATGCTTACTCAGAGCACTGTGTTAAGCAACAAACGGGAGAAGAAATCTGGGATGTTGCTTTTTAGACAAGCTGTGAATGTAATGTTTGCTCTTGGTAGCCCTCCATGAAAGCCACAGAGCAAGACACTGGGTGAAAGCAGTTTCACTGGCTGGGGGTTGGAAATTACTGAGTAGGGAAAGTTCTGAAGAACATTCTTGCATGAAATGCATGTGTTTTATAGCTTGTCAGTATTTTGGTAAAACGTCATCTGGTTGTGTTTTTTTGTGTTTTCTTACAGCCTCAATAAGAATGTTCCCATATTTGTCTGCACAATGGCTTACCCTACAGTCCCATGTCCTTTGCACATCTTTGAGCCCTGTTATCGCCTGATGATTCGAAGGTGCATGGAGACTGGCACCAAGCAATTTGGGATGTGCATTAGTGACCCTGTGAAGGGGTGAGTGAGCTGCACGTTTGGAGCATCTGGTCTACCCCACTTAATCTGGAGCAAGGCTTTTTGGAGAGAGGTGCAGATGAGCTTGTGCTGTGGTCATCTCTCATAGTTCTCCAGTAGAGGAAGCTTCTCTACCAGTTAAAGACCTGGAGAAGGCTGGAGTTACTCCTCTGAGCAGTTGGATTCTGCCTAATACAGCTGCCTGTTATTCTTGGAGCATATGGAGCTTGTGGGTTCTTGCACAAAGTTGAGCCTCAGGCCTCTTAAAATACATGGAAAGGAAGTGTGTTTTCCACTCTTGAAATCTCTATAATGCTTTGTCACAAACCATCAAGTTCAAACAGCAGTAAAGTATGGTGGTGTGTGTTTTTAAAATTGGAAAATAGTTAAACTATTGGAATGCACTTCTGTCTTCACTGCTCTGAGCATGTTGGATGCTGCAGAGGTAGAACAGTATCTTCCTAAGAGTTAGCTGAGCATTTGCATCGTGCCATTTACAGGCAGTCTTAAAAGCCAGGGCCTTAACGTCCACATTTAGCTTTCTTCACGTCTTTAGTGAGTGTACCCACGAGGTATATGTGCCATAAAAAGAAGAACGACATGCTCAAAATCCCTACCTATGAAGTAACATCAGTTGAGAATGTAGGGAAGCTTTTTATTTATAACATTTGTAGTCCTTCTGTAGTTCTAATATTGTGAATTGCACTTATTCTGTACAAAATGTGTGAACTTGCTGGAGTTATGAACAAAGTGTGTTTCCAAGCTGTATAACTTTCGTAAGAAGTGATCTGTACTCCAAAGCATGTAGTTAATGTTAATCAGATCTGACAGTCTGAATATTCCTGATAGTTTTAAAAACAATCGTTGAATAATTTGAGCTACTGCAGCTCAGTACTATGAACAATAGAAATGAGCTGACACCAGTAAATACCTTTGTGGTAGGCAGTGGCTGTATGGCAGTTCTTTGGAACTAAGGGTGGAGAGAGTAAGAGTTGTTTACTTGCTTTTGTTCTGATTTAAATAGGTTTGCAGATTATGGCTGCATTCTGGAGATAAGAAATGTTGAATTCTTTGCTGATGGTCGCTCTGTTGTAGACAGCATTGGCAAGAGGAGATTTAAGGTGATACAGCACAGCCAGCGTGATGGCTACAACACAGCAGATATTGAGTACATCGAGGATCAAAAGGTGAATGCAGAAATATTTAAGCTGTGTGACATTTGAAATTCTGAGCCCATGTATTTGGTGAACTTTGTTGTGGAACAGGTTCCAGTAAACCAATCCATGGTATTTCCTAACTTGTGGTTAAAGCTGGGAGATGTCATAGCTCTGTAATAGAGAAGGTGCTAAATGAACTTCAGCTATTTTCATAATCTTTTGTTCTGTGTTGTGTGATGTTTATGAAAAAAATGTTTCACATAGCATTCCAGAGGTGCTTGTCCTGCAAATGTGTGCCTTTGCTTTGGAACGTGAGATAAAAAGGGAAGTAATGGATAAATAAGTTTGTTTTTAGGGAAGAAAAAGAAAAGCTAGCGTTCCTGATTTGTTTTAGAACTCCCTTGGTACTTTTTGCTTGTTTCCTTTGTCCCTCCCCACCCCAAGAAGCCCTGAAAATGAACACTGTGCCCTCCCCAGCAGGCCGATCACAGTAACAGTAACCTCCCCCCATCTCATTTCAGGTGCAAGGACAAGACTACGCTGCACTGCTTGTTCTCCATGATTCTGTCTACGATCAGGCATATATGTGGTTTAATTCACTCAAGCAAGCACTGAAGAGTAGAATTCTCAGTCACTTTGGTCCAATGCCAGCTAAGGATCCTGACCCACAGGTATCCAGAATCAGTGGCTTATGTAACCTCAGAGACACGGGTAGCAAGGATAGCTGATAAGCTGGGAAGCATCATCTTCAGTGAGGAAAAATAAGAATGTTCATCACTTACCCTGCGTAAGCAGAGCATCTGGGTTATGTTGCCATGCACCAGTAGCAGCACTATTGTGAACAGAAAGCTCATACGTAATGTTGGTAACTTCCTGAGAGTACTTCACCCACACAATGAGTCCCAGGAGATGTAAATGCCTTTTTGCCTACTCTACTTCCCCAATTAAATGAGTAAGAGAAAATGGGGAAGGAAACTCATTGCTCTGGCTCAAGGACTGCAAATTACAGGGGTCCTGAAAGAACAGAATGTAACAACAGAAATTAAATATGAAACAAGTATGAAGTACGAAGAAGGGACATAGGTATCCCAAACAACTGAATCAGATAATGAATTAGGGAAAAAAATGTAGAAAGCCAACCTACAGACTTTTTGCTTTAAAAAAAAAAGAGTACAGCTTGGCTGCAGTTTTTGTTTCAGGTCAAGCTGTACTCACAAACCATTTGGCTAGCAGTAAGATCCCTCCTTGCTAGTCTGCTATCAAGATGGTGTGTTTTCAAAGCAAACCTGCAAAGCTGAGCCCTAACCATGTACTTGTATTCCAACTTCTGCTTCTTTCCCCTTACTGCAGGCTAACCCTAACGGGCCAGCCTGGTGCTGGTGGGTCCTAGCTGTCCTTCCACTTGAGAACAGAGCCCAGCTCCCTTTCCTTGCCATGAAATCCCTCAAAGACCGCTTGAATGGCATCAGACGTGTCCTTACATTCATGTCTCGCACAAGATCGCGGTGATGGTGAGGAGAGCTGTGAAGTCTCCCGCAGTGCTCGACTGTAGAGTGTCTCTTGTAACTTCATCTGACTGCAGTAATGTCCTACAGATTTGTGTCCGAATGTTTCCAGCCTGAATTTCAGAGAAAATAAGTTAAAAGGAGCAAGGGATGTTTATGGTTACTTTAATAGTTTCCATTTGGAACTCGGTTTCTGAGATGATTATTCAATTACTGCACTGCTAAATTAATAACAAATGTGATAGAACAAAAAGTGATCTTGTTTGCCATAAACCTTTTAAAAAGCTTAAGAGGTTTTTTTTAATTTATTTTTTTTTTGTAGTGGGTAAAGGGTGAACTGTGCAGTTTAATGTGAAGCAGAATTAATAATGTTTATGCATTATTTCAATGAACTGCGTGGTCTTTTCCAAATGGATCAGGTTTTATATAGCATTGTGTATAACAATGTTCACGACTTCCGTTTGATAATTTATTTTTGCACTATGATTTTTTGTTTCAAAATGTGTTATTTATGTGTTCATCCTCTATAGGAAAGTGAGCTGCTCTATTTATAGTGGTTTTTATCCTGTATGTACAACGGGGGAAGGGGGGAATGATGATTCTAGCAGTGCACAAAAAACTGCTTTGATCATTTTCCAGCTATTTCTGTTCAAATACTTTGAATGTTTTTCTATTTGTCCCCAGTCCTACTGTAGCCTAAGAAGGCTTTTTTCCTCCCAAAGCAGCCTGCTGTGATGTCTCTGAATACACAGACTGAGAGCTCATGCACAGTTGTTGGATCCTGACTCTCTGCTTGTAACTATGGCTCTGATAGCGCAGTGCAGCCGAGCGCATCCTTAACCGTGAGTGCAGGTGTCAGAGTGCTTGGCTAAGCCAAGGCATGGATCAGTTGATGGCAGTGGGGATTTGCTGGCAGAAGGCTCACCCTTCTAAAAACAAAACTGGAAGTATTGGTGTTTCGTTGTAGATGGACAGATTTTTTTTTTTTTAATTATTTTTTTATATCAACTCCGGTTGCTGTTGAGATTAGCTTCACTTCTGGAGTGTCTGGGATTTGGTTTTGGAGTGTTTGTATGCGGGTGGAGGGAGGGTTATTTTCAACTGCAGGACTAACAGGGCAGTTTGTACCACGTGAGAAGGAATATGTTGTAATAAATGCTATTTATGTCACCCCAATGTTCAGCTTTCTGTTAGCTTCAAGTCTCTGCCCAGCCACCTCATTTCTATAGGCAGAGATGGGGTAGGGTTGCTAATAGTAGTTAACTGCTAAGGAAGACAAGTGAATTTTTGGATGATCGCTTCTAGCTAACGAGGCAGGTAAAAACAAGGCAAAAATGAGAATAGCATCAATTGGTTTTTGCTTTAAATCAACAAGCTGTTTGCACTTCTTACTGCTTTCTGTCTACCAGCTTCTGGAGCTCGTCTTCCATGGGGCCAACATTGACTTTCATTCATTTCAGTGGGGGGGGAAAGGAAAAACAAACTGTTGTGGAATGCTACAATTTCTCTTGATGTTTTTACCCAGGACAGCACTATTGCCTATTCCATGCCTTTATGGAACAGTGGGGTAGAAATTAATGTCAGTTTTCCATGTGTGATTTATTTCTCACCATCATTCTTTCATCAGGAATATACATTGAGAGTAATTTCTGTACTGTCAGGTTTCTGTAATATCTTTTATTCCCCCTCTTGTTAAATTTTATAGCACTTATCCATAAGGGTACCAAAGAATGGAAGACAGACACATTTCAGCTTCGTTATGCAAATGGAATATGTATCCTGTGTTGGCATTTAGCTGCTCTAGAAATGCTACAGCTCGTTTCCATACTGCTAGATTGCTGCACTCCTGGCATCTTCTGTAGGTGGTGCTTTCCATGCTTCTCTATGAACAGTGTATAGAATACATGCTCTGAACAACAACTGTATGGTGGCTGAGACCCGCTATGACGTTGGTCTTCATAAGTCAAAAGCAGTTCCTATTTGTTTGGAAGTGAAACAGCATTAAATGCAATTCTTCCTTAAACCGTTCTGTATTATGCGTAATGTAAGGAGTCTGCGTTGCTCCTGTAGGAAGTTAGCACTTAGTTCTTGTATCTGTGGGAAAAGGACCTCAGATACGTATTTCATACTGTTTTCTCATTGGTCTTGCTGTTCTTTTCCTGCATGTCTTCTGCGTGCTCATTATTTTGTTGATTCAGAAATTGCCATGCAAAGAATCCTCGATTCTATAAGTGAACATTGTCTTTCTTTATCAGACTTGAGTAAAGCTGCCAGAACTTCCTCAGCAGAAATCTGCGTATACATGCACTGTGCTGTGAGCCCCCAGTGTATTGGGTGTGACTTGGAAACACGAACTGCTGCCTACACTGCATGCAGGTGACCTGTGCATGCACTGCAAATTGACTCCATCAAGAAATTCAATCTGGGACTGCTGTGTGGCCACACATCCTAGGTTAATGGGTAGTTCATGCATTCCTTCAGAGGAAAAAGATCCTGAAACAAGTTTCTGAGAACACAAGCCTGCCAGTAAAAGCTGGACAAGGAGTAGCTTTAGCCCTCAGTGAACTGACATGGTGGTTTCAGTAATGAGCTTTACAAACACAGCTTCTAGTTGTGCCGTGCTACGGGTGATTTCAGTTGTACTAATTGGCACAAAGTTGTAAATGCAGTATTTATTACAGGCATAAATAAACAACTGAGCAGACTCAGACACCTTAATTTGAATTATAGAAACTGCATTGATTACATCTAACTGGGGCTGGTATTTTATTCACTGCATTCTAGGCACTTGTTTTATTTCAACCGCTCTTGCTTTTATTTACCTAAAAAGAAAAAAAAAAAAGGAGGAAAAAAAAGAAAAGCACTTATGGGATTTACATTTCCTCTGTGGCTAAAAGTAGCGATTATTCTTTTGTAGTGAAGCCATAAGTAATCTGTAGGCTTCCTACTATTGCCTTCAAGGAAGGGCACTTGCTTAGACCCTAAGTGACTGAGTTAGGATTGCTAAAATCAGAAGTTATTCCATTTTCATAGAAATGTGATCAGTTGTTTTTTTTCCTGTGGTGGAGAGTAAAGCCAATAATTGAGTGATCCAAGCAAGTGCTGGTCTCCTGTAGGATATGGTGGTGAGCCATGCAGGCAGCTGGAGACCTCCTGAAAGTGACAGCTTGCATTTGTGAGATGTACTTCATTCATGTGAAATCTCTGCACGCTTCTGTAAATGAAAGATTTAACAAAATACATCAAATAGCAAAGGCTGCCTTTATCACCTTTCTAACTTTTTCTGCACGTATTTACCTTCTAATTAAACAGATGGGTTTTCTGAAGGAAATTACATTAATTTTCCCACTTACAGAGTTCTGTAGTAACGTTGACTTATGTTGCCTTGTGCAGGAGTGGTTTCTGTGAGAACAGCTGTTAGCTGGGCATGGAGAGCTTTGACAGTAAACCTGGGGCACAGCTGCATTTTCAGGTTAAATTGTACAACCTGACTGAGCTCAGACACAGCTGTAGAATGCAGTTCATTAGTATTAATAATTAAATCATAAGTTGGTGTGATAAAATCTAATTGATGGTTTTAGTTCCAGTTGATGCTAAAACAGTTTTAGTTACATAGTCCTCTTTTTTTCATCTTTAAGTGCTGATCTCTTCCATGAGTGGTAGCAATAAGAAGCAAGCTGTCACACTGCATGGCTGACCAGAGCTTCTCTCCTGTGCTGCTGCTTGTGAGCAGAACACCTGAAGCACAGGTCTCCTCACCCAAACTTTAATGAGAATAAAGTCATTGAGGTTTGGATGCAGCAGGTCTGGTTTCACCTGCACTGTGAAGAAAGAGCTTTATGAAATTATTTAGACAGTCTTTTGGTGACTCCTGCTTGGTGCTGAAGTTTTGCTGGTGTTTAAATTAGAGACAGACAGCAGTTGTAGTGAAGTGCAGTGCTTAGGAATGGAGGACACATTCAGAAGCTTACTTTTAAAAAATACATGTAAATTAATTACGGTTTTTCTCATGCATACCAGCCCCACTGGAACTGTATGCACTGAGGGCAGTGCTTTCCTGTCCCCTGAGCCCTACATTAGGTGAAAGCAAAACGGGCTGAGCTTGTATTGTCAGCTCTGCAGCCTGACTTGTAAGTGGTGCAGCATGTCCTCAAGATGTGGTGGTCTGGGGCTCAGTCCAAAGCAGCTTTGGAAAATCTTTGAAAGCTACAGCAAGGTGGTAGCTCAGTCAAGTCGCTGTTGTGAGATGCTTTGTTAAATAAATGTGGTCTGGATACAAGAATGAATCTGCTTTGTCAGGATTAAAATGATGGGTAATACTTCAAAAATAATAACAGTTAAAAAAAAAAATGGAGCTGTTATGTTGACTTACTCATCCAGGTGTCATGTGAATTGCTTACAAAGAGTGGAATTTCCTAAGGTCTAAAGTAACCCTCACATAGAAGTGCCTGTATTCTGTTATTGCCATTCTTGAGCTTTTTAAGAGAGTCACAGCCATATATTTTATAAATATGAGCATATGCACCTTTCAATCTTTAAATTTGCAGATCAAAGGTTTACAGAGCAGAAGTGTAGCAAAACCAATGTACTAGCTTCTGTAATTCCCTGGTGGGGGATGGAGAAGTACAAAAATGGGGAGGAACAGACTATCTGTATAAGATGTCTTAATTTGGCACCATATACTCGTCCAATTTAGTTCCATCAAGCTACGTGGTTATAAGAGTGCCAGAAATATCTATCTCTCAAGCCATTCTAAATAAAAAGCTCTTTGTTGACCTGTATATTCCATTTGTTTGTAAAACATCATTTTTGTGCACTGTAACGAACTTGAAATGAAACTCTCATGCCACTGAACAGAGCACTGTTCAGCTACCTCAACGTAAGGTTGAAGTACTTTGTTTTTTTTTTTCCAGATTTGTTCACATTGTCATATAAAATATTTAAAAAAAATCATAGTCCAAAGATCCTGTATTTGTTTGTAGATGTACTTACAATTATGTTGTACCAACAAAGTCTGTGTGAAGCCTTGTTTGCTAATTAAAATTTTTGTGTTCTTTACTCTTTGGCTTGCATAACAAAGTACATCAGGTGTGAACCACTGCTGACACAGGAGCTGCTTTTTTTTAGGTGTTAGAGAAAAAGGGACGAAGAACAAATCCTAGGTCCTGCAGCCACACAGCAGAATCTGATGTGAAGGGAGGAACCCACAGGAAGGAAGGCCGTTGCCCAAAACTCTGCCTTTGTAAGGGACCTCCAGAGCACTTTTGATCTTTGCTGTAGAAGAGAAGGGGCAATGGAAAGTGCTGAGAGCCTGGCTTCCCGAAGGTGTGCTTCTGTGCCTCCTGTGCTGTTTGCCTTAGTGAGTTGCCCCTGTTTCTGTGATTAGAAACGAGCCAGGCTGCCTTCCACGCACAGCCTTGGCCAGGAAAAGTGAGCCCCAGCTTCTTGTTAAGCTGTGCCTGTGAACCCATGAAAGCGTGACGTTCAGCTTAGAAGCTCTGTAGCACTTTTGAAGTCCCCTGCTTATAGAAAAAAGCTGAAAAAGAGGACTTTGATTCATAAACCCCAGACTGAGAGAACAGCTCCGCATTTTATCCTGCTGAAAACATGGAAGAGTCACCAAAGTTTAGCTTTTAGAGATACGTAAGGGCTGCTCCTTCACCTCATCACCAGACAAGCTGAGTGCTGTGGCTGCGCTCTGCTGCTCCAATCCTGTCACCTGTGGCACCAGAGATCACCTCGCCGCTCTCTTACGTAAGCTTGCTCAGGTCCTGCATTTATTTTAGAATCCGGGGCACAGCCTGAAGGCTGAATTTAGTAAGCCAACAGCTAATTATGTCAGGGCTGCGGTTTCCTATAACAAAAATCTGAATCTGAGCAGGGAACTATTTTGGTTGAAGTGCTTAAGAAACAGCCAAAGCTGAAGCTTTGCTTGGGAACACGGCAGATAAATGATTCCTTTCAGTTCTCAGTTTTAATTCTGAAAGCCTTAATTAAGAATGGCTTTTAGTTGTAGTTTAAAGCAGAAAATAAATAAAACAAATTTGGGGTAGCAAATGTAATTCCCAACTCTATTTGTTCAGCACGCTTTAGAAGAGATTTATTCAAGGGACTCATGAAGTATTCTGAAGTCAATTGCTTAATGTCTCACTTGAAAGCGATCACCAAAAGCAGAGGCAGCGTAAAGCAGTTCCTGGCAAAGCACTTCCGTGCCCCGCGTGGTTCCTAATGCCGCAGCCATGACGGCTGGGCTGTGATCAGGGCTCGGCCCACAGCAGTGCCTGGCTGTTCTGCCCTCACTCACTGCGGGCAGTGAGCTGCGACGTGCTGTTAGTTCTCTTAGTGAAGTGTCACAAAGTGCTGGGACGTCTCCCAGTGTGCTGCAGTTCTCTGTAGAGCCAAGTTAAAGCTCTGCCATGTTTCTGTCTCCAAACGTGAGGCGCTGCCTGCCGCCATCTTGGCCACGCGCGCAAAGGGAAAACAGAAACTTAGGTTGCAAAGGACCGCGCGGCTGGGCTTTGTTGTCACTGTTGTTCTCAAATCTGTGTTGCTTTCAAACTGAGCACGTTTTCTATCAGCAGCCACTTAGAACTCCAGAAATCACACAACGGAACAGATGAAATGGTTCTTCCTAGAGGGTGGTAATGTCACCTGGCCTTCTTCCCCAGCTGTATTACAACTAGCCGCTCTGTGAAGCTCTGCGTTGATGGAGGCTACCTGAGAACCAGAGCACCAGCAAAGAGCAGGGTTTGCATGCACAGCCCTCAGCTGCCGCACACTGCACAGTTTACCTCTTCTCATGGACAGCTTTCAGGTAGTTAAAGCAGAACTGACAGCCGGAGCGTGCTGTTGCTGGCAGCCTCGTGCCAGCATGGCATCTTCTCTCACAGTAGATCTGCTCTTGACTTGTAATGCTATAAGCGAAAGGAGAATTAAGCTATTTATGTAAGTGGCTTTATTTATATAACTGACTTATGCTGTATTATATGATGAAAAAGGAGGAAAAAAAGTGGCTTTTTTTTTTGTCTTTTCTACGAGCTGCAGGAAGATTTTGTAAAAGTAACACTAGTAATAAATGGTTTTCTGTATGCGTTTGATGAGAAGTTCAGCTTCATCTGCATGGAGGCTCTGGCATGCAGAGGAAATGTAGTAATAGGTGGCACCACAGTGTGAAAGGATTTTAGCAGGTCTGCAGACAATCTAGAAGCTCTGCATTCAGAACACCAGCATTTAGACTGTAAGCTCGTTCAACAGAGCAATTAGCATTCAGTCTCTTCCATGGATGACTCAATGATTTGCGCTGTGACTGTTAGCACTGAACGTACCAGCTGAAATTTGTTTTGAAGGTTTAGTGAAGCATTCATGATTTAAAAACGGTTTCTACCAGTATATATTTTTTTAATCAATGAGAAGCCCAAGAAGCTCCACCACGGCTGAAGACCATACAGAAGCATTTTCAACAGAGCCGAATTCATTTTCTTTATGCCTGACGCTGTTTTTCACTCCTGAGTGAACGCTGGCTATTTAATATTTGGGAAATCAGGGTCAGTAGAGTAAATGTTTCTGTAGCAATTTGGCAGAAACACCTTTCGTAACTCATAAAGTCACTCCTGGAAAGGCACAACTGGGTCGCAGAAGTGCATGGTGGGATGCTGCTTTCCAGTTATGCAACCAGGGTAACTAGAGGTTAGAGAAAGCAGTTGAATAATGAGCTTTTTGCCAGAAAGAAGGGAAGAGAAAAACACAGTGTTTTTAATGCTGGCTTCTGAGCAGCAGCTCCTAATGTGTCTGGTTAGGAGTCATCAAACTGAAATAGAACCGAATGCGTCACAACTTTGAAGAATGGCAATTCACATCCCCAAAGAAAAAATACATCTGCTTGTATTCCAAGAGCAAATCCTACCAGCTCTGCGATTCCCATCGATGATGCTAGAGCCACTGGCAGCATGCTGCTCAGCTTTTCTCCCAGCCCATGTCACTACCTTCATCACTCCCCTGCTCTTTTTACTGTATCCGTCATCCAGCAACGCCATCGCCCTTGGGGAATCACATTTTGTGTGCACCATTTCTATCACACTGAGCTCAACTCCTCTCTGTCCCTGACAGCTCGCAGCACCTTCACTTCTCCCACATTTTCTTTCCTGCTTTTATGTACTTCACTGGATTATTTCTTAAAAAATGTAATGAGTGAGGAATTCTTGCACTGATTCTTAAAACAGAAGAAAGAAAGGAAGTTGTCTCTCTGCACCATGAAGATTTTCCAAAGTTTGGAGGGCTAGGATATGGCCTGAGGGCACCAATTAGCACATTAACTAACGAATAGCTCCCATCCAGTCTGGGGATATCAGTTACTAAAAGTGAATCCTGCACTGCAAAGAGACTAAACAAAACGGTGCTTTTAACCACAATTATATCTCCTGTTACAGCTGCGCAGCAGATAAATATATTAATCAAAATGACCTCATTTTAGGCATGAGTAGCAGTGTCTTATATAACCATGTTAAGTGTGCTGTTTTATTTCCCTCCCGCCAAGGAGAAACGGTGTTTGTCTTACAAGGGTTCCAAATAAGTCTGGTTATAAAGCGATGGGGGAAAGAACGGGAGGAAGAGACGAAAGTGGAGGAATCAGTAAGCAAAATGACTCATTCCCCGAGAGCAGAGGCGATGCTACGCTGCACTGTTAAATATTAGTTGCTCTGTAGGAAGCTGATGTTGTCATAAGCAGTCTCAGTGCTCCACATGTGCCCAGCATTTCTCAGGATGGGAAAAACAGATGTGTTAGAAGAACGGAAGCGCCTTCTTTTCAGACCTCTCAACCAGTGGCCTCAGCTTTCAGCGTTCCTTGTTCTGTTTCCAAAGCTGTTGGTAAAGGCTGCCCCCAGAAATGAGGGGCTTGCAGCATCCCCTGCCATCCTTTTTGTTCTTTGGAGAAAAGCAGCATTCGATTCATTCTTTTCTGGTGCTAATAATCATGCTTTAAACGAGCTCACAAGCACCCTGAAAAGTAGACTGCATCCCCCCACACACATAACAAGGCCAAAACTCATCTGGATTGATGCTGCACTGCAGCAAAAAGGACAGAGAGGCGTACATTTTTGCAATATAAGATCACTCAGGCAGAGAACTCCGATAAGCGCTGAAAATGTGAAAAACAAATGGCAGGGTATGCATTTCCCATTTGCTTAATACACACACATAAAAGAAACACTGTGTAGGCTTCACTGCAGCATGCCAGTGCATCCAAAACTCAAAGGTTAGTTACATAAATGATAAGGCGTGGGCTTAAATGCTTCATTCAGCTTGTTAATTACTTGCTTTGTGGACCGAGCCAACATTCTGAAACAGGTTCATCCAATATTGTGTTGCTTCCTCTTCATTTTCAGTTGGTGTATGAAGCTGAAGTGCTGGGAATGATTTGTTGCAGCACATCAGGAGAGTCTCTTTTCTCTTCTAGCAACTCACAGAACAAACTTACTCAAACTCATCCACAGATGCTCTTTAAATGTCTTCCTTAATTCAGAGAATGATGAAATTTACATCTTGGAACATTCCTTTTAAACGGGGGAATTGCTGGCTGCCATGAGCATATCTTTATAATTGACATTTTTTGTTTCAGTAGCTTCTCCTTTGTACCCTTTTTAACCACGAGGAAATGAATGGGAGCCCGTTAGAGAACTCTGACACACATACTCGCCGTATCTCTGGCAGAAACGTAGAAGCTCTGTCTTAATAGCAGATGGAAATAAATAGTTCCCTCTTCAGTTCAGTGAGCCTGGACACCAGCTTGGTCGATGCCATGGGGAGAACAACTGGTCAGTGCCAACTGAAAGGCAGACCACCTCTTATTTCATTACGTGCAGGCAGAAAGTGGAGATGCAGAATTCCGTATCGCCGTGGCAATAAATCATACTGTATCAGGAGCAAACTGTCATCATGCCACAAGGCATCTCACCAAGGTCGTACCTGGGAACCGCAGATAAGATTTACTTCAAACAACAGATCTGTTTTAAAAGCGGAACGGTGTAACTTGCCTTGATTTCATCAGGGTATGTTTGCAG